AAAAAAATAACACACCACCGCCTTGCTTTCATCAAGCACCGGTCTATCTGTCACTTTAGTCCAATCAATCTTTGTAGATGGCGCATTTCCACTCCAAAACCATCGCATTTTTTGGGCGCATGTACTCGGCCCCAAACTGAAAATTTTTTTTCAACAGAATCAAAACTATGATCGTTACAGCAAAACAGCTTTTTGATCGTTGAAATCTACTTACTTCCTAGACCATCGCACTACCCCTTCTTCGGCTTCGATGAGATGCAAGTGACCATCGTTCATTGCTACTGCTAGCACAGCTCCATCAGGAGACCATGTCATAGATTCGACCAATGCTGGCTTTAAGCACTGAGTTTCCGGAAAAGCAGTTAATTCCGAGACATTCACCTGCAAGCACAAATATTGTAGGCTAAAAGAAAAGACTTGAAATCTCTGCCCCTCATTTCCATCAATGAGAGCAGAAATGACTAAGCTATGTAACTCACCTTCCAGCAGCGCTTCCAAGCATTTCTTTTCACCATCACTTCACCTTTTCGGGATGCTAGAGCCAAGAGGTCAGAAGTAGGATTCCATTGCACAAAATGGACCTCAAAGTTCCGTGATTCTATTTTGAAAAGGAATTTAATGAAGTGAAAATGATTAAGATCCAGGAGAGAATCCGCTCATCACCAAGGGTGTATCTGCACTGCTTTATTTTATCATGAAGAAAACATCAAGCAAAATGTATGATCATACAAGTTTATCTAAAAAAACCGAACAATTTCAGTGACTTCTGTTTCGCAAGCTCAACGCAGGTTTGAAATCAGTTACAGCTGCAGATGCAATTCTCATGCTAGTCAGGAACTAACTTAATGATAGCAACTGCTTGGTTGCATATTTGAAGAAAGTGAAAAAATTGTCTCTAAGAGCTGAGCAATAAAGAGTTTAGACAGATATTTTCATACGCAAATTATAGTTTTCCGCCTGACAGGGGTTATTCTGAAACTACAGCCTAGACGAATTGATCTCCATCTGCGTCTCCTTTAATCTTCTTTTTCAAAAACTTGAATGAGGGAAATTAATTTGTTTCATGAGTTCCTATATCGAGAAACAAACATAAAGAATATGCAAAAGCTTCCCCACTTACTTTCCCAGAAGATCGCCGCTTACAACCCAACCCACTTTTGAAATACTAGTTCAGTTTCTACCACAACTCGCAGTCGAACTGATACATATGGTGACAGCTGAGCAATTACCTTGAACGGCGCACGATACTGCTTTCGCTGCTGTTGTAGATCAAATGGCATTACATGTATACCCATATTGCCTAAATAGGAATGAACTAGGCAAAAGTTTTACTGAAGCCCTTCGGCCCTGATCCCATTCAGTACCAACTCAGACAAACTTGTAAAATTCGAATGAAAAACAAAAAATTTGTATCTCACTTTATAAGCACAGAAGAAAAAAAAGATTTGTAAAAGATAGATCACGATGTTCAATCCTAAAATATATGTAATAAAACACAAAGAAAAGTAACTTTCTGACAAGAAAATCAAACACCAGTTACAGTCATAATAACAAAGTGAAAAACATCAGAAATACAGATATGAGGTTAGACAGCTAAGAAAAAGAACAACCCGCAATGCACATCAAGGGATTCTCATGTCTCAAACTAGTCGATGGTATGAAGTGAGCTGGCTTTGGATCCTTTTGCGAAAATACGTTATATCTAAACAATACTAATGGAGCATTTGGGATTCTGGAGATGACAAATAAGCCAGAATGTGAAAGATTAGCAAATTATATCTACACTCACTTCAACCAACACCAAGTAAAAAGCTCAATTACTTTATCCTACTGAGCACCACCACTCCTTGCAACAAATTCGCGTTGCATTTCTTGAATTTCATGGAATCGACCTCGCTTCATGACCGACAGCATATTCTTCATGCGCTGACGTCGATCGCGACGTTTTTGCGCTGTCGATTTCACCTGCGGCTGATCAGGTCCAAATTCTCCTTCCTCGATGCCTTCCATGTCCTATACAAGAATAATTTTTGAAATATATTAAGAGGAAAACGATGTTGGTGATTTGGTGGTAAATAAAAAAAGAACAGAAGACATACAAACAACTGACATTACTTTAAAAAAGTAGCACTATTTGGCAGCAACAACGTGATTACCAACAATGATTGATTACTATAGCTCAAAAAATATACGTAGTTGTAAAAAAATCAAAACGGAAAACTGAAAAAAATTGCTAATGCTAAAAAAAGAGAGTTAAAATGACCTCGCCCTCTTCCATCTCCTCATCCTGAACGGGACTCTCTGTATTGGGCGTATTTTTGGCTTGCGCCTGCTGAAATTAAAAAGTAGAGGAACTCCTAGAATGTGTACAATGAGCATCAGGTAACCTTTGTTTGATAAGCCCAATGTTGTTGGCCTGGCGAAGCATAGCTACCACTTTGAGCTGGTGACCCATCGTAACCAGATCCATTACCAGATTCTGCAGCCTGCAAGATACCAAGAGATAGTGTATGCCTCAAAAAGTAAAGGACTATAAACAATAAGTTTACCTGGTGGGCACCCTGTAATTGAGCAAAGAACTGTTGCATGATGTTACCCATCTGGCTAGCGCTATCAGAGAAACTTGCTTCATCTTTTTCGCGCTTCTTCTTCGACTTCTTGGACTTACGTCGATGCTCCTCCGAATCGCTATCGGATGCTTCCCTAAAAAAGAAGTTTCAAATATAATAGCAGAAGAAAGAGATTCCTCTTCCAGATAAAATTGCTAAAAACTAACCTTCTGTTCCTACTATCAATGGCAGCTTTATGTAATGCTTGTACGTAAGAGCCTTTCTCTATGGGATAACCTCTAGCTCGTTCAAACGCTGTAAATCAAAGATTTAAAAAAAGAAAAAGAGTGAACCAAAACACTGATGGATGCTAAATAACAAACAGCTTAAAGCTCTGAGAAGAACAGTTTAGCAAATACAAACTCGAGAACTAGGCCATACTATTTTATCAGACAACTAGTCTGTGAAACAGAGTATTGATTTATCTGCATCAGCGAAAAATCCATACACTTTTGAAGCATCGATGAAAAGCAAGAACTTTTACTATAAACATATTCAGCTCTGTTCTAAACGATAATAAAAGTCCTCAAATTTGAAATAGAATGGGAGCAAAAGAAAACTCACCATCTAACGCTTCATGCGATGACCAACCAAGCCTTTCAATTAAAAAACGACATATAAGGTAACCGCTTCTGTTAACGCCATTTGTGCAGTGTACACCAATTAAAGCTTCTAAATGAGAACGGACTCAGCAGTAACAGTTGAAGACTGAATTCTGCTATGGTCCTGAGATGGATGGAGGAAAAATACGAGTGTAAAAAAGCGATATCTAAGTTGTTTGTGTTGAGTACTTTCTGATCATAGACGAAAAAATGCGGAAAAAGCATAGTTTCCAAGAAAATGTCATTTGAAATGTAACTTCATTTAGAAAGGAAACGAATGTTACGCAGCCTTTCACTGAAAAGAAAAACAAAATACCTTCATCATCAGTCTTATCAATGTAGTCCTGGATTGCTTTATTAAATTCAGAAACACATTCCGTCCTTTCTACGAAACTGCAATAACAAAAATTACATCTGAGTAACACGCACAAATAAGAATGAATAACACCCACCCTCGGCCTGGACAGTTGATTTTTTGATATTGTATGCATAGGCCTTCAATCTCGTCTTTATCATAATATCTATCGGTATCCGTCAGGTCCACAACAAGACCCAGCCGTTGCCCTCGTTCAGCTAACTAAAAAA